TGAAACCATAAAGGCTATCGAAGCCCGTATTGTGGACAAAAACGGTAAAGGAACTTTGAAAGTACATAAACCGGAAGGTGATGTTCCTCAAGCTAACTTAAACATTGGCAACATCCATATTGCGGCTCCAAACTACAAAAAAGGAGATAAGGTAGATGTTTACGTACGTTGCGTAGTATTATTCCCAATCTAATGACACTTTTTAAAGGTAGCTACTCGAGCGGCATACGGTACGGCCCTGGCTAAACTAGGCGACGCATGCCCGCGGGTAATTGGTCTTGATGGTGATACAAAAAATTCAACGTTTAGTGAAAAGATTCTGAAAGCCCACCCGCAACAGTTTATTGAGTGCTTTATAGCTGAGCAAAATTTAGTGGGTGTTGCAATTGGTGCTGGTTGCCGTGACCGGACTATCCCGTTTGCCAGGTTTGCTTGGCTTGACTTTCATTTTTTAAGTTTTTCGAAGTTTTTAGGAGGAAATAAGTTTAAAAGTTTCATTGTGATAGTACTTTTTTTAGTACTTTTGCTGCGTTCTTTACACGTGCTACTGACCAGCTGCGTATGGGAGCTGTTTCATTTGCCAACATAAAATGTGCAGGCTCACATGTCGGAGTTTCAATTGGTGAAGATGGCCCATCACAAATGGCACTTGAAGATTTAGCCATCTTTAGGCACGTTTAAATTTCTAAATTGTTCTTTTATTTAGTTAATACGGAAAAAATAGAAAAAAAAGGTTACAATCTTTTTTCTTTGATGTCCGCCGACCCACGTTGCATTGTAACTTTCACTAAAAATTTAGGTCTTTCCCATCGTCCACTGTCTTCTACCCAACCGATGCTGTAGCAGCGGAGCGTGCAACTGAGCTTGCTGCTAACACTCGCGGTATTGTATTTATCCGCACTGGACGTCCGGCCAACCCCGTTATATATGATAATAACGAACACTTTGAAATTGGCAAAGGAAAGGTTTGTCCCGTTTCGGCTACCCTGTTATTATCTTTCATTTAACCCTTGAACATTAAGAGTTTGGTCTTTCTTATATCTTCCAGTCATTCGCTTCACTCGTGGTTTCACAACTCAAACTTTTTAGGTAGTGCGTGAATCCGACAAAGACACTGTGCTTTTGATTGGTGCAGGTGTCACTTTATACGAGTGTTTGAAAGCAGCTGACACTTTGGCTGGTGAAGGCATTCATGCGGCAGTCATTGACCCGTTCACGATCAAGCCTTTAGACAAAGAGCTCATTGCAAAACATGCCAAACGTGTCGGGGGTAAAGTAGTCACTGTTGAGGATCATTACCCTGCGGGAGGTACAGATTTTACTAATAGTTTACTTTTGCCATAGTAATTTCTTATCTTAAACAACTCAGCAGTATTTCGTTCCAGGTATCGGTGAAGCTGTCTGTTCTGCCATGTCAGAGGAAGGTAATATCCGAGTTAAGTCGCTCTGTGTCACTGGCGTTCCTCGTTCGGGACCACCTGACGCTTTACTTGAAATGTTTGGTATTTCCTCCACTCATATCGTGAAGGCTGTTAAACACCTGCTGCATTAATAGTTGATGGGAAAGTAATAATTTTACCTTTTTGTTGGTCTTTCTTAGTCTCGACACCATAGCAGTACGGAAGCCATTGTTAGTTCATTGACATCAGCACCATGAAATTAAAAAATGTGCGAATATAGCCGCCTTTAATTAAAGATTCGACGAACAGAACTAGATGCCTTGAGTTTAACTGGTTTTTTGTGGTTATCAGTCATAAACACTAGATGGTTAGACAATGATTTTAATTGTTTTCATTCCTGTAGGATTTGCTTGCTTCCTTCCCGTGGTTACAGTTCACGTCCTTTTTAAACCTTGTTGAAAATGTTAATAACCAATAAACTATTTCTGTTAGCCTCTTCCTGTTGCAACCAATAATCAGACTACTGCAAAGCTGCCGTGCAATTTTCTAAACTAATTAGAAAAGTATAACCTTCTTATATGTATTCTGTCAGACTTAGTGCAAGCACATTTACAATAGAAAATTAATTCATAAACGGTGAATGAATGATACGTCACTGAAATTCAAAAACTTAACCAGTAGTGTTGAGACAAAGGGCTGGTGGACAATGTACGTCCATGCGTCCCTCAGAAGCTATGCCAAATTGTTATCACACTTGAGGAGGCTCGGTAGCAACTAACATGCCTTAACAAACGGTGCTGCATTAGTGCGGACGAAAACTCGCGTAGGGATTAGATGGACAAAAAATGCGATAGGCGGGCTGGGGTGGGTAACTCTGGGTAACTGCAATGTTCTTCGTGTTCAGTCTGGGCCCTACGGGGATCATTTTTACATTATCCGGGACGACGGTGGGAACGCTGCAGTTTACGGTTGATTCAAAGTATTGGTTAGCTTGAACTAAACGTTGTTCAATCTCTGCAGAGTATTGTTGTGACTTTGGCGTGAAGTGTTTGGTTAGTGTTCGAGCCGTCTTATGACTTTTATAGTTATACTTTAAAAATGAAGTGCCGTTCAGTTGATAATTGCTTGGCTGATTGGAGCAGCGATATCTGGAGGCTTCCAGCTGGAGCGGTAGGAAGTTACACGTTTGCAGCGGAGTACTAGCACTCCAATTAGTAGGAGTACAATTGGAGCAATTGCTCCAATCAGCCAAGCAATTAATGTGAGTTCTTTTTTTTAAATGTGAGTTCTTTGTACTTTGCCAAGCAAGATTTGTTGAGCGTTCGATTTATCATACTATCAATACAAGGGAAGAGCATAAATTGGCTTGTATCGAAATGGGTTATCTTTACTCTCCTTTGACAACCAATACATGTGTAATCCTACCCAGTACTCGAGGAACAAGAGGTTCGTACGACGGGTAAGTCCATCCAGTAACTGCTGCACTGGTGTTGTGCTGTCGTTTGCCGCAGTTTGGTTAAAAGACATCGACAACGACCTCTCTGCTTGAAAGTAAGTAATGACAAGGCTGCACTCCAACAGTAGGCAGGATGATAGGACGTAACTAGCTTCGACTATTTACAGCAATTACTCGTATGGATGTTCTCTCAAGGTAATCAGTCCGTCACTCGAGCTGTAAAAGTCTCATCGTTCTGGAGGAAACTGTAGAAAATAAAATCACTCAAGCGTTCGACGAGAATGCTAATCAGGAGCAGTTTTTAGACTAACATCTTACTTATCATTGGATCATTGGAGGAATGTTATAGTTGCATATGTTCTTCGTTAAAAAATTCTTGCAGAATTGAGGAAGACCCGGAATCTACAAAGATTTAAAAGTAGGATGTTTTAGAGGAACATTAGACCGCAGAATGTTTTTAGCAGTCTACTCGTCTAAAAGTAGGAAGTGAATAAAGTTTTCCGTTATGTGGCTGGCAGCGTGCGGAGGGCATCGTATTGGTCGTGGAAAGGACAGACAAAGTTGCGAAAAATTAGTTTTATCAAAATATTAAGGTGACAATGTAAGTGAAAGTTCAATCAACTTTTCTTTTTAAAATTTAAAATTTCATAACCTGTTGACAAAGATTTTGGTCAAAAAATTTTGTGTCTGTAGTGTCAAAGAGCTAAAGGTTGTTGACTGTTGACAGGACGAATATCAATGTCGTCAGTATCGAACACGACCAATCAGCCAATTTTGGCGGAGGCCCAGTGGGCCTGCTCGATTGGTTTTGCCGACACTGTTGGCAGAGACCAGATGAATTATCACCAAAATATGATCGAATAATTTCATTTGCTGGTATAGAAAAACAAATGCGCAGTACAAATGAAATCGCTAAAAACTTTGTTACTCTACTGTCATGGACTTGGAGCTTCACCATACAATAAGTTTGCTCAGCGGATGAAGCAAGCTGTTGAGAGTCGAAATCTGAATTTTCAAAGGTAAATTTTACAATAAATTTCACAATGGGAAGGATTTTTTTGTTTGTTTTTGTACCTTTTAACTCCGTATATGCGACATTTTCATAAAATGCTTGGGGAAACTTATCTGACCCTTCAAAGCAAATTCACATACTGTATCTTGTTGATACATTATCAAACAAGTAATAGATTAATTTCAGTGTATTATACCGAAATGTAGGAGCAAAAAAGATGTGGGATGTCGATGAATGGCTTGAGGATATCCTGTTGCATGTTGACAGGATGAAAAAAGAAGGGTATTTACGAACAGTTCTAGTCGGGTTTAGTGGTGGTTGTCACGGTGTTTTACGAGCGGCAGTAAAACGACCAAATGATATTAGTGGTTTATTTTTATTAGCTCCTGGTGTCGGTTTACATCTGAAGAGTTACGTTACCAGGGCTATGCCGGAAATTGCTAAAGAATTGTTGTCAGGAAAAGCAGTTGTGTATCCAGCGGCCAAAGACGGCTATCCCGCTTTGATTAAAGCGGACTGTCTGCAAAAGTATTCAGAGGTCAGGAAATTTACCCTTGAATTGCGAATTGTTTAGGCCCAAAATAGTTGACATCTAAACATTTAGGTTTACTTTACCTTTGCTAGCTATTGAGTAGATAATTTTGATGCATTTTTTTTACTTGCATTTCTTGCTCTTTTTGGCATAGGCTAAAAATTTTGAAAAGTCAGCGACTTGCAGAAGTGTATAAGCAATCGCTTGGCGAGTATCCCTATCCGCTGTCCGGTACGAATCCTTCACGGTGCGGATGATGAAGTTTGTTTTATTTGTGCATCATGATTGTCCGAAATTTTTCTTTCTTCTTCTCTTTTTTAGGGGAAGAGGAAGGAGGGAAAAGGTGTTTTCATTTTTGGTTGATTATTAAGGACGAAACTCAAGAGGTAAAGAGTAAGCGAATTTGCGCTTGCAGAAGAAATGATTGATTTTATCTTAATGTAGTAAGAACAAGTTCTTTTTTTTCTGTTTTTTGATCAATTATGGAAGTAGTTTACGCCACGATGCATTTAAATATGTTATTAAGATAGTGCCGCTGGAAAATGTGGAACGTTTTATAAGACAGCTACAGAGTAAAGATGTTGTGATGAAGGTTCTTCCCGGTGTCGGTCATTTTATTCCGGTTAGTAGGTATTTTAATAATGTTTTTGGAGGAGGAGAGCATCTTCAATGCTGTATTTAATCAATACAACGTATTAATACATTAATCAAATCCTCCTTAATTCTTACAACTGATCTATAGATGACTGCTGATTTTGACGCGCTGTTAGATTCACTTTTGGCCGCTATTAATTCGTAAGGTTTTACGAATAGCCGACTGTCCCTAACGGTCCATTTGAAAGATGGAATACAAGACAAAATTTGGCCGCTGTGGAATTACCTCCAGATCGATTACTGAAGAGATTCTCGGTAGAATATGGTTATTTCGTCTTTGCACGTCTGTATGCTTGTGTCAACAGAAAATTTATAAACTAAAAAAGTGGCAAAAGGTTTGCCTTTATAATCCCTATTTTTTTTTATTTGTTACAACAGAGAATATTGATGCTTGCATTTGTTGGGGTAAATTTTCTACGAGCTACTAATCTGATAAAGCAGTTGATTTTGAAGAAAAAACTTTTTTGTTTTTTATAGTTCGCAGTCTGGAAACATTTTAGTGAAAAGTGTAGAACTTGAGGGTTAAGAAGCAAGCAAAAAAATGTTTTTGTTGCGTAAAACGAGTTCAGAAATTTATAAAGAGAACAATATTTTTATGTAAGTTCTATTTTAGAAACTAATAGTAAGAGTTTACCAGGAATCCTTGAGATTTATGGAAGAGCTTTTGATGGTTTGTGAGCGAAAAGCAGGTAGAGTTTTTCCAACACTGAACATGAACACCTGATTCTTCCTACTTCTTAAGGCAGTAAGAGATCAGTGTATGATAAATTTGTGATGTTCATCAAGGAAAAGCTTTTTTATGGACAGATTACACAAACTGTTAGGTATATAGTGTTTTAACTGTTATGTGCTTTTCGTGCATATGCTGAACATTCTTCTTGGGGAACAACTTTTCCTTGCAAACTTCAAAAACTGTGGGATATTAGTGTAGCGGATGAAATATTTTTTTCACATGCGTCATCCGGTACCTTCTTTGCTTTCTATTTATTATCTCTAATAAATATGCACTCCGCATCAAAGATAGAAATAAAAATCAGTGCAAAGGGTGGAAGAAAGTTGGTAAAGTATTTGAAGATTGTTGTACGATTCAGAAATCGCCTGACTTGATTGACTGTCGTTAGTCAAGTTTCATTTACACAGTTATGTAAAATTTATTCGTTTTTGTGGGAGGTTTTTTTTTGATGTTTTGGATAATATCATAAAAATTGAATTTTTTTTGAAATTTATATTTTCATCTGTTTGAATAAAATGGAGAAAATGCTTGTATTTTGTTCTTAGGGAGAAGAACCAAATAATGAGTTGAGAAGAAACATTTAATGTTTAACGTGTTAGTAGTTATTCGTTGTAATGTTTTTTGGTGAAAATGTTTATAATTATAATGGTATCCAAATAAATTGTTTATACTTATCTTGTGCTATGCTTTTTAAAACGTGAAGTTTCTTCTGAATTGCTGAAGTGATATTTGTAGTTTGTTGCCACATTCAGCAAATTTCGTGAAAAAATTTGGCCGGTTTGATACCGATTGATATGTAATTTTTTGCCAGTGCTACTGTAAACCTTGATGTGGTCGTTTCGTTTTCGTTGTTTTCTTAATGAAACTTTGATCTCGGCTAACAGGCTCGGGTTTTACTTGATGAAAGATAATGAGTCATTTGGCTTTATATGAGTAAGATAGTATGCGGTTCAGGAGTTCCATTGCCAGATTGAAGTTTGGAAACTTTTGTAGAAGGTATTGGATTGACTGCATGGATTCGCAAAATGCTTGTCAATTGAATGTTGAGGAACTGGACATTTTGTTGCGTTTCTTCTGTGACACAGAATTAGTCACCAGGAAAAAAGTTCGGGAAATGTAAAGTTTGTACCTTTTTGTGGACAACTAAAAAAGTTTCTTTTTTTTTTTTTTTTTTTTTTTTTTTTT